CCACCGAGCATATACCTACATTCAGTTGAATCGATAGGATATCTGCTTAGGGCAATGACCAAGTCAACCGACAGATAATTACTTATCTCTACCGCTAAACTTATAACAACGCTTGAAAACGTACTATTAAAGAATAAGCCTAAAGGCCCCTAAGAGTAAACAGATGTAGCAGTAAACGAATATAAAATATCGGCAATAACGGTACCCAGTGGTAAGAAGGACTATCTATCTGTCCCATTCCGGGATATAAGAGAGACCAAGGTATCGGTAAAAGCTAGAATGTATATACTATTTATCTCAATGAGAAAGTCGTTTAGGTCAGCCATATAATGTCCTCAGGAATAAGATTAAGAATAGGTCCTAAGGACTGTTAGTCTACGACAAACTGCTCTACAAATTCAGTAGAACCTATATATTGGTGACCCCTGTAAAAATGTAGAGTAGTCAGGATATAAGTGAGCCAGTGCCAGGCGCAGTCTTAGCTATATATTAAATTGTAGGTTTAGAATAAGACTCATCTGAAAGGAGGGTAATGCTGTTAAATAACGCTTATTCTTTGATTATATCCTATTGTTTAACAAGCTATGTTCAAGCAACCAGATGCAATTTGTAGTTTAGCGAATTGCGGGTAACCATAATTAAGAACATTTTTTGACGGTAAACAATATAACTAGTCCGCTATTTATTATAGATTTCATTTTATTATAAATAGGATCTTTTTCGCTGATAAACCTCTTACAATCTTATCACTCCTATAGATATTACAGAAATTGTCTGGTCAAGTTCCAAGTCCCTTCGTTAAATCGTCGATATTCAGTCTGTTAACCGTTACCATATACGAGTTTCTAATGAATAGTAACATTTGCATTATTTTAGTTGTTTTGACAACATTTCGTTCAATATCTCTTGCTGAAATTATCTATACAGCTAGCGTGCCCTTTCCACACACTAACATTACACAAATTTTCTTCTTATTGAAAATTATTTTTAATGCGCACGGTAGGCGTTATCGTAGACTGCAGAACACTTTCTGGATCAAATTCTACCATATAAGTCTAAATATACTTGCTATAACAGTTACGAGACTTGTCACTTAATCATGACTGGCTAGACAATTCGGAACAGAAGATCTTTATAATTCAGTAGCCTGCTAGAATGAATAACCCTAAGGACAGATAATGCTATAAAAGGAAGTAAGAAACATTCGATAGCACATTACTTCTAATATTTCGCTCAATTAGGGAGTAGCACAATAATGATTTCTGACAATATAAGAATTCAAAGTCTATATTATCAGAGCTGATTTCGGCCAGCTCTTTAACAATATCTGGCAGGCGCTTTAAAATAAATCCCCGAAATATACGTAGGCTAAAGTATAGTCCTTTTTGTACGTCGTTCATCAAATGTTATTTTTTCATTACTTAAATTCAGATAGCATTAGGGTTTACTACTGAAATTCTATCAGTCAATATAATTTACAGCAGAGGCAGTTCTATTTATAAGGCGCATTATACTGCCTGTAACCTAGAGGACTGCGGATACTGTGGTCATTGCGACTAGTGACTGATATTTCATGTAATAGATTTTAAGCGTTATTTAAAGTATTTACCACTTATATTTTCATCTGACTCCGGTGTCTCAGAAGCTGAAACCAGCCGACGGAAAAGTCCATCTCTCGCAAGAAGGCGCCGTGGTGTATCAAACTCAACCAGGCATCCAGCATCAAGGACAGCGATTCTATCAAAATCTGTGATCGTGTCCAGCTATTTAAGTTAGCTCTCCAAAGGATCAACGACTAATAATAATAAAATAGTTTATCGACATTGCTGCTGAGCAAGGAAATCAAAGAAAGACGGAAAAGGAGAACTTACCCTATGAGCTACACTGATAATAGTGCAGCCTTTAAAAGCATCTCTCAACACTTGTTGGGTGCGATGATCAGTCTCGCTATCAACGTTGCTAGTGGCCTCATCCAAGATTACTACCTGATATCCACCTGGGCGGGTTCGTTTCTTGAGAATAGCCCGTGCTAGGCAGAATAGCTGCTGCTCTCCTTGAGACAATGGATAATCCTCGAGGACTGTGTCCAGACCTCCTCGGCGTTCAATGGCCTCCCAGATGCCAATCTGCTTTAATACAGACATTATCTCTTCGTCGTTAGAGGCCCCCATGATGTCTGCGTTGTACCGCACAGAGCCTAGAAGAATGAATGGATCTTGTGGAACAGCTATTAGCGCCTCTCGAATTGCTGCTGGGGAGATGCTTTTAATATTAACCCCATCAATGGTGATCATGCCATGAGATGGGTTCACAAGGCGAAGTAAAGCAAGTATAAAAGAGCTTTTCCCGCTAGAGCATGGATGCAGCGTTAGAAGAATAATAGAATTAATGATGGAAAAACTTACCTGCCTGTGCGGCCACAAATACCAATTCTCTCCCCCGGTGCAATGCACATAGAAATATTATTCAAGGCCGAGGTTCCGTCGGGGTAGGAAAGAGAGAGTCCCTGGATGTGTATTGCTCCCTGCTCAGGCCAGAACACCAGCGGTTCTGGGTTTTCTCCAGGATGAGATTCAGGAGGAGTGGTCTCCACAAAGGTTTTAACGCGGGCAATTGCTCCGAGAGAGGTTTCAAATGTGGTCCATGACGTGATGAATAATGACAGTTGTTGATTAAGCCCCAGAATGTTGTTTAAGGCAACGCCGAGAAGGCCTGCATTGGTGCTTTTGTGCAACTCCATGGCCAGTGCCACCACAATGATTGCCAATACCATTACCATAATATCCAGCACCAAATTTAACCACCTCTGCGCGCATAATAGCATATAATATGGCTTCTGGGACTGATCAAGATGTTGAATTAGAACCTCAGTGGATGCTGTTTGCCAACAAAACGCCCGAATTGTGGGCAGTCCGTCAAGAACCTCAACAAAATGGGAGTACAAGGGACTCCGACACTCCAGGTCGAGATATCGTAACTGCCGACTGGTCTTTAGATATACTTTCTGCAAGAAATACAGGACCACCAATGTCACCGGAATCGTGATGGCCATATATGCTGAGCCTGTTGCAATCAAGCCCACGGTGGCGATGCATCCGAATAACGACTGCCCTAACGACATTAGAGATATAGGCAACGCCAGATCCACCAAGGTCATATCCTGGCTAAAACGGTTGAGTGTTACACCACTATCAGTCATGGAAAAGAAGGATAGCGGTGCTCTAATAACGGTGTTCAGCAGGCTCCAGTGCAAGCGGATGGCCGACTTCGGCATTAGTTCAAGAAAGATAACCCATATGCATCCCACAACTAGCACCGATGCAGCCAGTGCTAAAACAATATAGACGGAGAGATATAGCGGAAGTTGGCCGCCGCCTGCCTCAGTCCACTTGCTTAGCCATACCCGCGGAAAGTTCTCGGCGAAGGCTAAAAAGGCGTGGGCAATGAGAAACACGGTACAGAGAACTGGACCAACTATTCGTGCGTAATAATAGTACACCGACAGATCTCCAATTTGCCTGGTTTGATCCTGATCTTCCATGTTGTTCACAGGATCAGTTAACGATCTGTTTGTTTCATCACAGGTCTTTTCATTTAGACCACCCTCTCCAGCAACCGTAACTTCTCTGCCACGAATTAGGTTTGCGTATTGAATGGCGTCTCCACCCGCTGCCTGGAACTCGATCTGCCCATGTGAATTAAGTGAGATTATGCTGTCTGCCACCTTAAGTAATTGGGCTAGTTAAAACACATCACGAATTAGATAACTTGGATTACGCATTGAAGTAGGCAGGAGAGCATACGGTTGTGAGTTGTTAAAACGACTGTTGTTCCCAGTTGGCGAAATATCCCATCATTCGAAAGAAGTCGCGCAATAATTATCTCCTGAGTCTGCATGTCCAAGGCACTTAAGGTATCGTCTAGCAAAGCTATATCCTGGCGACTGTACACCGCACGAGCCAATGCCTACACAGTTAGCCTGGAGAAGAAAAAAAAGCAAGAAACAATAAGAAAAGGAATTTGTATAGCATACCACTCTTTGCTTTTGCCCCCCTGATAGAGTATGGCCTTTGCTTCCTACTTCACTCTGGTCTCCGTCGGGCCAGCAACGGATGTCCTCCTCTAGGCAGCATGAATGTAGGACGGTTTGGTACCACTTCTCATCCACCTTGTGATCTGCGAGGCCAGTGATGCTCTTCTTAATCGTTGTATTCAGCAGCCAGGGGTTTTGAGTACAATAAGAGATTCGCTTCGACTTGACAGAGACAGTCCCTGACTGACAGCCGAGTTCTCCCAGGATAGCCTTAAGTAAAGTTGTCTTGCCTGAGCCGACAGGACCTGTTACTACTAGCAAAGTGCCGCTTTTTACTTTGAAGGACACATTTGTCAGGGTAAAAGATATTGCCTTTTGTGTAAGTAGGACTGTGACGTGGTCCAAACTAATGGCAACATCTTGCTCTTCATCGTCAGTTAGTAGTGGGGATTCTTTCTTATCTGTGTTACCTATAGAGGTTGTCGAGTGTAACGATAGGGATCTATTCCATCCAAGTCGACTATCCTTAATCGGGTCGGATACCATGTACTCGTGGATGCGCTGGAAGCATCCCATAGCCGCTGCCAGCTGTGGCAAAGCAGCGAGAAGCTTTTCTGCGGGTGTTGTAACAAGAGTGATAATGCCTAGGGCAGTAAATGCTTTCACTGTGGTTAGAGAGTTGTCACCTCGGATCTGTGCTTGGATCGCATAGACGATAAAGGTGATGACCGGGGACCATATTCGGGGCAAAGTTGCTTCTACTGTTAGCCTAGCAACCTGTAGAAACGTGAATCAACATACCTAGACCATTCAACCACATTATTCCCTTAAAAAATGCTCGAGATACAAATAGCTCCCGTTCACGGTGTTGTTGAAGGTTCTGGGCCAATGCTTTGGAAAGCCCCGAGATCTTGGTTGCCTTTATAGACCCCAGAACAGCAGAGGTATTCTTGATCCTCTTCTGGATCTCCAGGTTCCAATTCTGTTGGTCGTTTCCGATGGTATTTGCTACCAACTTCTGGCCAACTAGGCATGCTACATAGAAAAGTAAGTACTATGTTGTTCCATTAGCAAAGTGTACTCCTCTTGTAACTGACCCAGTGTAAGAAGTAATGGAACGATACAGGTCGCACCGAGTTGGAGACCAAGTAATGTTATGCCAATAGCCACTTCTATTGTACGGGCCCAGATGTCATTCATGTTCTCCAAATGATCGATAATGCCGTCAATATCTAGCCAGGGCCATTTCTAGATAAGAAACTGTACTCTTTTTATAATATAGGAGGTCACTTATTAACTCACCTGTACTCATCAATGTAAGAGCAGCACTTTCTGTGTAAAGACCATCATGGAGTGACAATGTCCGGTCATGGATTAACATGATCATTGAACCACGAAATAAGGTCGAAACCCTCGAGAAGCACTGTCTATAGTGGACGTTTGATAACTAGGAATTGTAGTTAGAGACGAACTGTACGTATAGCACAAAAGCGGCTTACCGCAATACCCAGATATACCAGGAAGGTGGCCCCAATAAGGCCATAGCCACCATTTCGGGTCTCTGTAGATACCGGTCGCTCTACATGCTGGACCGCCGCCATGATTAGAAAAGGCTGGGCGAAGCTGAACCCAATCAAGCACAATCGAGGCCACACCACAGCAAGAAACTCCCTCCAAAAACAGCGGACAAAGACCCAAGGCAGCGAAAGTTTGTTCTTCGTGTTCCCTGGATCTTGTTAACATCTCACGTATGTGACGGGTGTAACCAGCAGTGAAGATAAACAGACCATGTTTCTCCCATACTCTCTTTAGTCGTTCGCCCGCAGGGCCTGACGCAAGCCCGGGGTCAAGATCAAAGAGGTCTCGATTCCCTATAAGCTTCCGATATCCCATCACGAAGAGCTGATTTATCCACCAGACAAAACTAAGATTGATAATGCCGCTGGTTGCCTCCGGAGGATACTCCCGGTAAGGGGACTGGAGATAGGAGGTCTTCTCTCGCATCTCCAACAGTAACATGGTGAGTTTTATCCCGGCAATGGCACTCTGAACCGCTGCCATGGGAATTCGGTGAGTCAGCCATAACGTCCGAATCTGTGTCGCATCGAATATAATTGAGAGCAGTAGGTAAACAGTCAATAGGGAGGAAGGTCTTGTTGATTTTCGGTCTTCAACATAGGAGAGCCCAATAATAATGACCGCATTAGCGAGACCTAGGGAGGCAGCGGGGATGCTCGTCGAGGTCTGCGAGAATGGTGATACGCTCCATAACACTAGTAAGGAGAGTTGGAGGGCTAAGTTGATGGACGAGGTGACCTAGAACTTATCAGCGATAGGACCGAAATATTGAAAGTACCCTGAGAGATTATTCGCACCAGCTTGCAAAGGTAGTTTTTCTGCTGGGAACAAGTCTTAGAGCGGCATCGAGTGAGATAGAGCAGTCGAGGTGGCCCTGCTAGCAGCAAGACTGTGGATGGGATAATCGACAGGACAGCCTGCTCAAAGGTCAACGTAAAGTCAAACGCCCGCACGTGACTCACAGGCCCGAAGGCGCCCTCCCACGAGACGGTGGAATTGTGGGCCATAGCTCAAATTCACCTCAGTTACGTGCGACGAAAAGCAAATGGCCAAGATATGTGACAGGAAAGAGGTAGAAATAGTAGGCAGGGCTCGCAAGGCGATGACGCGCGCGATGCTGCCTGGACAACAATCCCTGCATGAATCCCTGCAGGGCCTACGGGAATCTGAGGGGTATACTGTACTATGGTTGACCGCGGTGATTTTTTTAGTACGGTCCACCTGTAAGCACTAACTGACTAGCGGCATATGACCAACCACCTTCCTGATTAGATTAGAAATGAAGCTAGTGAGACCTCAAAATAACGCATAGTTGTATACGCGAAGCAATTTATATTTAAATATATGATGTTGGCGATACTGCCGCCTCAGTCCGCCTTCTCTATATGGCGGCTTGGCAATAGCACTCAACCCCTTTCCATAGAGAATTCAAGCATTTCACTCCCGATTGAGTAGGCAATACAGCCATGTCGCTGTCATATGATTTATATCGCTTCAAAAATGACTACCATACTACCTCTACCTGACTTAGGAAGGTTAAATTCGGACTGTCTAAAGCGGGACGATCGTATAACTAAAGATTCTTACTATACGTAATAGAGGGTTTATTTACCAAAGAATTGTCGAATCGTTACCTAGAATTTTATATCGCCTGGTATAGTACACTATAATATCTTACTCTGTAATACTAAGGAAGGCTCGCGGATAAACACCTAAGCTAAATAAAGAAGAAGTAGACGAAACTATCGCTTTTATTACCACATTTAAGCGTACTCGCCGTATACTATTCTACCATATGTTGGCCGTCTCTCTAGGTGTAATTGCTAGTAATGTACCCGTAGGAATATCGAATGATGAAGGTCTGATTCTTTCAATCTAGCTGCAAACGATGGTTTAAATACATGAAGAATAATAAGCAATCTAGCCTAAAAAGGCAGCTAGAAGAGACATAACTTTTGAACCATGGAAATAACAGAAAATTCTGCATAATCCTCGGGGATCGGTAGTTACCAATACCGATGTCCGGACTAGGAAGGTCTCCTATGTGACTAGCGGTCACATACGGTTGACACCAAATTATTAAAGAACTCGAGTTTCCCGTTTATATAGAGATACTCGCTCGTACCCTATGAAAAGCGAGACTATATACGTTATAAAGCGCTTTAAAAGCCTCCTCTCTTAGCTAGGAATAAGGCTACTTATCTTAGGCTATCGAACAGGGAAGCGCTACAGACACCCCCCCCTCCGCTCCTGAGTGAGAAGGAAGCATCCTAAGAACCCTTTATTGCTGATCTTTAACTAGCACTTTTAGCTGACGACAGATCGTCATTGTAGATGGGACTTGTGGTACAGTCGGTACATTATAGGCTATCTAAATCAAGCTTATAAATGTTAGATGCTCGATTAGATTGAAAGAAAGCCGGTAGATTGTGAGAAATGATAAGATCTTTTTCTCTCAGGCTAGTTGTAAGAAAGGAATATCGGTTGAAGCAGATCTCTAATAAAGTAATTGTTCATTAGTTAAGGAAGTATAGTAATAGAACATTAAATATACCTTTTTTTGAAGAAATTTCGTGATTTCATCTTTCTGTCTGTTCTTAAACCGTTGACATACAGCAGTCTTTAAATGCTTTATTATTGTTAATAAATTATGATGCCTTTCTTTCTCTTTAGTATCCTTTTTTGCCGAGTAAGGATGTTCAAAGATCTGGCTGCAACATTTGTACATGACCTTTGGTGCGCCATCTATACTAGAGACGACCTGATCATAGTGCTTCCAAATATCTGAAAGGTAATTTGAGTCCTAATGTATCTTACTTTTGGGCCTATAATCAGTTTGTAACTACCAGTCTACTCATTTACTATAAATCATTTCGTTATAAAGTACATATGCCTTTCTTCGATCGGGCCCGACGCGTTCAAAAGAAGATGGAATTGTTAGAGGAATAGCTGGTCGAATAAACGAAGAAACTGAAGGATTAAACGTGTTAAATGTATGCTAGCTGCTAGATGGAGTGTCTAGATGATTTAAAGAAGTTAGAAAGGCTAGATTGTCTATCTCTATATCATAAAGAGATGATGCAAAGTCAGATTGCTGGCTTTGAGACATAATAAAGTAAGTATATGATACATGAATTAAATAAAAGAGAGGGGTAGAGAAGGAGATAGATACATTACTAGAAGAAAGATTTCTGACAATTTATGTTACTTAGCTGTAGACGGTAAGTCAAACAAACAAGCCTACATATTACAAGTGAAGTGTGTTTAGCCTAACGAGGCCCAACATCTAACGAGGCCCAACAAAGCCCATGAGGGCCCATGAATAGCCCAAAAAAGCCCACGAAAAGCCCACAAGAGCCCACTAATAGCCCATAAAGCCCATGAATAGCCCACGAGAGCCCATTTATAGCCCCTTACCGGCCCAACTTGATCTTAGATACCCTCGAAATATTTTCACCCGGTCGGATACGGAGATAGAATACTAGTAGAAAAAGCTGAATTCCTTCAAATTCACTTCTTTATACTATTGTTTAGGATTAGAATTCCAAAATAGAAAAAATAGGCTTTTATTTCATGTAGAAAATGAATGAATTAGAGTAAACAGAAATAATTTACTTTTTACTTCTAACTTTTGTCAAGAAGATGCACACACTCATATAGTTAAAATATATATCTTAATAAGTTTACATTAACTTTATCTATGAACTACCCATACACTACTATAATTGTCGGTTGACTTGGTCATTGCCCTAAGCAGATATCCTATCGATTCAACTGAATGTAGGTATATGCTCGGTGGGTAAAAGTGAAGTGTCATTTCTAAACTACAATCTGCCTAGCTATTTATAGTTCCACTTGTTTACACCTATGCATTCCTGATCCCTTGGTATGCCATTTGGAATGGTAGGCCAAGTCTAGGCCAAACAAGGTGCTTTGCGGTATGTGGATTAGGTCAGGATACTCCACCTCTCTGGCCTGGTTGACAATATTGTTCCAACAATAATAATCAGAATATGAAATTTTTATAAGTAAATAACTTGAAATAAGCCTTGTTTTCTTTAATTCCAAGAAGATTTCCTAAAGTTTCCTACTGTTTTAGGCGAGGTTACAAAGAAGTTCAGTCGACGAACTAGAACAGGTGTAAAAAATGGTATTTTATCTTGATTATTTAGCAGCTTTATGAACGCCAAGACCAAGATTTTATGCAAAAATGGGCTTTTGCGGGGGCCCATTGGGGGCCCATCGTGGGCCTGATGGTTGGGCTTGGGCCTGAGATCTGGGCCATCAGCCCACAGTGGGTTGGGCCCTGGGCCCGAGATTCAGGCCCATTTGTGGGCTCTGATGAAGTCTACTCAGGAAGTAACATCAGGAGCGGAGGGGGGTGTGTCTGTAGCGCTTCCCATCGAATATATCTATTAAATAATCGAGGTAGTAGAATCAGATCTTTTAAATAGATAAAATTTAGATTACTTCGGGATTCTATATACGAATTTAGGTGACTCGTAAAACGGGAGAAGAGCTAAAGGAAATCTATTTTTACACCTGAGCTTAAAAGTTAAAGCCTACTTTGCACGTCGCAATAACTATCAACGTGCTAAAGTAGAGGATCCTAAGTTTCTAGGTCCTTGGTTTCAGCAGGTAAATGAGACTATTCAGAAGTACGGTATAGCTTCAAGCGATATTTACAATTTTGATGAGACGGGGTTTGCAATGGGCCTGATAGCAGCCGCCAAGGTGCTTATTAGGTCTGATATGCCAGGAAAGCCCGGCTCTACCTTCCTGCATTATTTTTAAAGGCAAGGTGCATATGGAGGCCTGGTATGAGGATGACAAGGTCCCACCTGATTGGAGGATTGAGGTCAGTCCTAATGGTTGGGCAAGCAATGGAATCGGCCTACGTTGGCTGCAGAATCATTTTATACCTGCTACTACTGGCCGATCTATGGGAAAATATAGACTTCTTATTCTAGATGGCCATAATAGTCATCTAACCCCTCGATTTGATCAGATCTGCGCAGAGAATTATATTATACCAATCTGTATGCCTGCGCATGCTTCCCATAAACTTCAACCGCTTGATGTGGCTGTTTTCTCGCCTCTAAAACGCGCGTACGGGGGCCTTGTTGAATCTTACATGCGCTGCGGGTTTAATCATATTGATAAGCTTGATTTCTTGAAGGTCTACCCTAAGGCTTATACATAGGCCTTTACTAGCAACAATATTTATAGTGCTTTTAGAGCTACTGGCCTAGTTCCACTAAATCCTGAGCGCGTTATATCTCAGCTGACAGTTCAGCTTAAGACTCCTACACCTCCGGGTAGTAGACCAAGCAGTCAAGGCAGCTCAGCGCCCAGAACACCTCATACGATCAAACAGTTGAAAAAATCAGAATCTACGCTTAAAGCACTGATTAAAAATCGGTCTCAGTGTCCTGATTTGCCTATCAAAACCAGCGTGAATCAACTGACTAAAGGTGCCGAACGAGCTCTAAATGATGTGACAATATTTAGGCATCAACTAGAGCAATATCAGGCTGCACATGAAAGACAAATTAAAAAGCGAAAGCGCTCTACTAAGAATAATACATTTGAAGAAGGAATATCAGTATCTGAAGCCCGAATCCTTATAGAGCGCCGAAATCAGGCAAATGAAGCTATACAGGCAGTGTGACGAACTGACCAAGGCCTACTATATAGAGCGATGCGCATACCAATTCTTCGACTTGGTATTCTGGTCTTTTTAGTAGCTCAGTTGGTAACTGTCCTACTAAACGGTCTTGGCGGGTAGAAGCGCACCTACTCACTGCCAAGCCCGTGACAGGCAGAGAGGGCTCCACCTACTGAATCGGCTCCTAAGCGCGCCCGATCTAAATGTTCTGGCTGTGATGTACAGGGTCATAAAATTACGCACTGCCCGAATCGATAGAACTACTCATCTTTATATAGAAGTCTAAATTTATGGTGTTTTGATCATTTTAATTTTCTATATGGCAGGTGGTGTGCGGCTCTCTCACCGATTACGTTATAGTATTATTCCATGATTAGTTACCCTAACAATTCCCGCCAAGCAATTGGTTGTTATGTACTTCTGCTATGACCAATTAGTTGATGTTCGATAAACGGGGTGTCCTAATTAGGAAATAGAGTATGATTTATAGAAGGGTTTTAGATGAGCAGTTCTTGAGCTGATTTAGCTCCTCTTTCATTATCTTATTTCAGTTGTTGTGTGTGCAGCGAAGCTTTTACCGCTGGCCTACCCCATCAAATAGTTAAAGCAATGTATTACTCAATTCCGCAATCAGGGAACTTCAGGCGGATCCGCGTGTTGATATCGTCCATTGCATAACCTTCTCCGCGACTCAGCAACATTTTCCCACAGTGCTCGGTATGGCTATAGGGCCCGATATACGTGTCGATCGCCGCTTTACCGGCTCCCAACAGCGCTCGGTGCATCTTCTCCCACATGTACACACAGTGCTGCACATGATACTCCCAGCTTACATACAGTCCATCCAATTCCCCCTGCAGGGCTTCTTCCTTGGGTACTGGCTGTGTCTTGTTCTGATCAAGATACCACTTCCAGTTGTCCAGCTTCTCAAAGGATTCCGATAGCTCCGCATCGTAGCAGCGGTCTGGTAACCAGCAAAAAGTGATGATGTCAAAGTGACAACCTCGTGCTCTGGCTTCAGCGGCGGTATGGCCACAAGGCGACTTTATAACCCCTTCTATCACTGGAGACGATGGGTCGTAGGTATGTTTTGATGTGTCATGGTGGTGGGAGGAGGAGGAGGACTGAGAAGACTCCAGTGAGAACGAAGTGGATGATTCCCAACGCATAACGTTTGAGATGGAATTTGCAGTAGAGGCAACATTCACGACGGTAATTAGGAGACCCGTAATGGCCAACAGAAGGCATATTATGACAATCACGTACTGACGACGGAAAGCGCGGCGTCTCCTATTGTCAAAGATACGCGGGTCAACATCGTGGGTCATTGTGTTGTCCGAGCTTTGCTCATATTTCCCTTCATCCATAGACAGTGAGGGTGGGAATTTCTGTGAATGTGGTGAAGTAGACATCTCTAGAAAATTGGAGTCAAAGGGGGATCCGAGAGGTCCCCGTAAGGGAGCAATTAATAGCCAGGGCTTGGAGGCTTCTGCATCGAAACCCACATCACGAGACGGAAAATCGCGCACTGTCTGAGAGCGCTTGCTAGGGTCTGCTGTCATGTAACTTCGGCCATCTCCGTTGGATACTGCTGGAGAAGCCAAGATAGCGCTAGCAGCGTGACAGGTCCAACATGATGCAGTGCGCGTTGCCCTCCCAATTACTCCAACTGGCAGGATATTCAGTCGCCATTACTAGCTAGATAAGAGAGCCACTTCTTTGTGTTCTGGCCGAGCTGAATCTGCCATACCCTTGAAGAGGATTTTGTCTCGACAGTTTTTATCTCGGTTAGACTTGAACCTCTACTTTACAATAATGGTTGGATATCGACGAATATTGAACTGGGTGCTGCCTTCACAAGGCCAAAGGAGTTACTATGCAGCATTACAGCCAGAAGAGAATTCTCAGGATGAAATGAAGCTCTTGCCCGAGAAGATAATGGCGAGACCGCGTTCAGCGTATCGCAAACACTGGGTGATCCTCAACAGCATCCTGTTTGTCTCCTTCATTTTCGCAATGTCCTCCCTCCTAGTCGCTTTCACGAAATATTACACCATAGTGCGACGAAGTACCATCAGTGTGAGCCTGCCATATGGAAATCCGATACCCCCAAGTACGACCGCTGTTCTTTCTTGTTTTTTCCTCGCTGATGCCCCCAGTGCCCTTGGAAACGAAGAAGTTTGGTCCATCGGAGATCTTTACAGAGCGCTCAAGTCCCCGAAGCAACGCTGCTTGGGAGGCCCTAGCAGGACGTACGATGACTCCGTTTTTTTGGCACTATCCGGGTAGCTAACTCAAAGATTGCAGCAAACCACGAAAACCCTGGTTTCATTTATGTCCCCAACTGGGAAGAACTGAAGCTACCACCGGGAGGTTTTATCCACGGAGAAATGATGTACGGAATTAGCATGTTCCATCAGCTTCATTGCCTGGTGAGTGGCGCGGATCGTCATTCCGTTCTATTCCCAGTAGGGGACTGATGCTGACTATGTCCTAGGGTGCCATCCGCTATACATTTTGGCAGTTGATGGAGGGTAAGCTTGACCCGGCAGCCTTGGAGGCTCTTGACGGAGATACGAACGATCCAAACTTTATCCCCAATGGTCACGGATTGTGGCACATTGAGCATTGCTTTAACTACGTCCGGCATGCCTTACAGTGCTACGGGGACACAACCATCGAAGTCCCAACGGATTTTAATGGTCAGTTGATTTTTATCGGGTGGAATACCACCCATCAATGTCGTAATTTTGATGCAATTTGGGACTACACGGTCAAGCACTCTACTTTGGAGGGCTGACATTGAAGGTGGGAGTGAGGTGGCAGGGACGGATATCTCAGAACTACCCGTATGGACATGTACAGACACGCGGTTACATACGCTAGCAGAGCCGAATGGACTGATCACGGTCGTCATTGCTTGTTAGAACTACTAAATCATCATGCATGCTGTAAACTACTCCTGGAAGACACTTCCCCGCTCCGAATGTGGATTTTCCAGATCCCGCGGGGTCCAGGGTGCTGATTTGGCGTTTGGTGCCTAATGGGGATTTACGCCTTCCAGCCAACAGACAGTGAAAGTTCCAGGATTAGGATCCTCAATTATCAACTGATGCGAGGTTTATCACTGGCTAAAATCGTTGTTAAGACCTTCTGTGATGTGCGGAGTGCTGCCCGAACCTACATACATTCCTACATCCATCTATCTGCATTGCAACATCCGATAAATAGATCTCTCTGATTAATTACTATGAGCCCTATTGTCCGTGTTATCTAATAGTTATAATTCTTGGAAGACGAATGCGATGTAACGTACCCCGCTTCTATAGCATTAACTATCGGGGAACACCTCAGACATCGGGATTGACATTGTTCCCGATCCCTGTTGCAGTAGCCAGGCGGCCTGAGAGGAAAACATGGGTGCTAATTGGGCTCTCATGTAGAATGGTCAGGCTTGAATGGTAACTTCAGAGATAACAAACCGAATACCAAACAGTGGAACAGCCAATGAGCGCTCATTATTGCATACGCATGTTGGATGAGGGGATGTCCGCGGAAGTATGACAAATTCACAAGAATGACAGGTCCAGTGCTCGTCCGCCTGGGATATATAACTGTTTGGATCTTATCCTCAATTGTAAGAGATAGAAAGGGCAATAAACATTCATTTCCCTACCTTTTCAACTACCGAACCTCTTGCCTACCAAAGGAACCATCCGGGTAATTATGAAGGCCATATATAGCTTCTCTATTCTTGCCCTTTTTGCCTCTATGTCTATTGCTGCGCCAGCTGCGTCCCCTAACTCTGGTATGCTGGACCCTAAAGAAGAAAAGTTATCCGGTTGTGCTAACTGATCTGTACGGTACAGCAAACAAGCAGTCCAGCGATGACTATTCCAATAATCCAGAGCCACTCAATTGGATCAAGCGTGAAGAGCAACAGGCTGAACCTCTAAACTGGATCAAGCGCAGAGACGATGAGCAGGCGGAGCCCCTCAACTGGATTAAACGTGAGGATTCCGAACAGGCGGAGCCCCTCAATTGGATTTGAATTATCGTGAGAGTGACCCTCGGTAATCTCAGGTACGTGCACTACGTACTGATTTCTCAAGTGGGTTATGATATGAGAGATACAGAGAGGAGTGGGAATGCGGTTCCAAGAAGATATTTAACATTAACTATGTTTGTACCGTTTGTCTGCCTTTAGGACGCTAGAATCATCTGTTCAGTTTGGCAGAACTCAGAATTCCCTTTATATACGGGGTTGGTTGAATGATCTGATTTGATATGGTGTTGCACTAGCGCCTCGGGCTTGCCACAAGGCAAGGGTAACAGAAATTGGGTTGACCCGCAATGAAACTGAGTTATACATAAAGTCTGGTTTCGTCAAGAGTAGAAGATCGTTATGCGAGCAGAAACGTAGGCAACAATGACGAAAGAATCAGAAGTATACAGTCTGGATAAAATACTGTGCCCGACAACTATTTTTGGATTTTCATATGATAAGGAGCCCCATGTGCACTAATCACTGGCTGGACATCTCGAATGATTTGATATGAGCATCTGTTTGAGAACCAGTACTGCCTAGGTCCAGCTAAGGGCTCTTGTTTTTGCCTGTTCTAACCGTTCCAGTAATCTTGCGCTGTCTGTCAGAAGACCTTGTAGCTGCTCAATGGCTACTGTCTAAATCCTGGTGCCAACGCTCGACAACAGAGTGTCCGGAACTTGATAAATCCAAACAGAGTTTAAACTAGTAGACAGTCTGTTTTTGTATTAAGCCCAAGGTAAAAAGTACGGAAGCATTCCAACTCTTGAACGCAGTAACTCCCACCATTGAAGAAAGATATATTTACTTTTTTTATCTCTTTAGTAGACATATCTTTAGTAGACATACTAGGCTTACTTTCGTGTCTTCTTCTCTCTGTCTTTCTGCAATACCTGGGAGAACGCATAAAGACCCATCTTCCCTCGCTGCCGTATAAACTCTGCCTCTTCCACGGCCTTTAGCAGAGGCGTTCCACTGGCGTGTCTTGTACGGATTTCATCGATGATTACTTTCCTGCGGCAGAATTTCACCCGCTCACGCTGCAAGTAAGGGACACCAAACTGCGCTATATGTATCTTCCAGGCTTTGAATGGAAGGCTCGCCTCCCAGCCCGCATGTCCTTTCTCTCCAGAGCTCCGGCACAGTGTAAACCATCTGAAAAGATACATAGTGTGGGACTCCTGCTGAATGATTTGATGTGGTTATAGGCTCCAATGTCTTTTGAGTAGTTGTCATATCGCTATTAGTAGTAATAATAATAGCAGAAGAGACAGAAACAAACCCGGGGATAGGTTGTGGACTGCGGACATAAATGCCTTTGTTATATCTGGATTTACCGCTTGTAAAGAAAAAGTCACCCGGCCACCGATAATATCGTGAAGATAGTTATTGATCTCTTGAAGCTGAAGCTGCGTTTTACTGCCCCATTCCTTGATAGCGTGGCCTAATCCTTGTTGAAGCTCCTGTCGGACATGGGTAAGGCGCTCAGCTAGAGCTGGTAGAGCTTGCCGGAGCCGGAACTCCTCCGGCTCTTCCACATCCTGTATAGATTGCTTAGCCTCCGCAGCAAAGGCCCAATAATCTTCTCATATAAAAATCGGATAACACCAGATAGGGTGCAATGGAAACTGCTCACAGAAGAGAACTGAATCTTGTAAAAAGATTACACGGAGCTGGACTAACAGCCGTAAAAATCCCTGGGCTGCCATATTTTGGCGATAAGCCTCACTCGGCTTTTCTGTTTCACTTTCGCTTTCCTTCTCGTTCTGCTGGCTGCAGTCTCCATATGACTCAAACCAGTCCAGCCACTTATCAGCCTACGGCCGTACAGCGTGGGTAAGAGACTCAAGGGGCTGGATCTTTGCCCGGGGTAGATAGTAATTCCCTGTAGTAGAAGCCTCGAAACCCGCCATTGCCCGTATAAACTTTCGGGGAAGGCGAGTAAGATAGCAATTGGTTAGAGCGTCATTATTCCAGTGCCCGGCGCGGCGAATTTGGTGTTCTGATCCGCCCATCGAGCTCCTTCAGATCGGCCGATATGGGTCTGTTGGAACGATGTTATCAACCAGACCAGAGAAGTGGAGTATCTTGACCTAATCCACATACCGCACAGCACCTTGCTTGGCCTAGACTTGGCCTATCATTCCAAATGGCATACCAAGGGATCAGGAATGCATAGGTGTAAACAAAGGGAACTATAAATAGCTAGGCAGATTGTAGTTTAGAATGACACTTCACTTTTACCCACCGAGCATATACCTACATTCAGTTGAATCGATAGGATATCTGCTTAGGGCAATGACCAAGTCAACCGACAGGGTCTTTTTCACCGAACTGAGGCCAATCTGTGCAAACACGCGGTTGCTCCAGTAAAGCTGGGTGTCGTGGGAAAGCGGTTTCTCTATCAATTCTCCGTTCGGTAAATGTAGGTTATACCACTGTGGCCGCCGACGAATCTCAGGCACCGTCTCCCGTATAACATTCCACCGGAAAAAGAGATAAAATGCGGTGGGCCATTGTACAGATCATTGGATTGCGGTGCCGCATTACCGAGTTATACTCTAAGCGCCCCATCGAATTTGTTTTGCCATTACCCAAAATCATGATAATTGAAAAACATGGCGTAGGACCCTCATTTTTCAAAGGGATAGTAAAAAGATCTGCGAACTGCAGGCTTCGGAGTGGCTGGCCCCGTGTAATCATGTGGTGCGAGAACAGGAAATCCACGACTGTACGAAGGCGAGATTCAATGCTCTGCGGCTTCCAGCGCTGGGAGTTTTCAGGTATATTTTGCGCCCAGTCCTCCCAGCAGTATCGAACAAAAGCTTCTCTTCTTTTCTTGTCATAGCCAACCAGTAAAGTACCTGCTGCTCGATCAAGGTATTGACCCCGTTTTCGTATATACTCATGGCATGCGTGGTCATCTAAAAGCGCAATGACTGCCTTAACGCGAGGTTTGGATTTGGATTAACTCTGCTGCTCTTTTGGTATGACCAAAGATCTCTTTCTTCTTTGGGTTGTACGACTTTAAAGTATTCTCAGGACAGTTGATTCGAAATAGATTTAAGCCTCTTCGCTATACGAAGCTAGATGCCTAGTGATAGCCACATGACCCTTTGTTAAAGCAGCCATATCCGAAGGTACAGAGCTGCTGGAGGTGGGGAGGCCATTACCTGAGGGAAAACGAAGAAGGATGTGGGCATTTCCGAGCCATATGTGGTTAGTTAAGGCACTCGATCTTGAATATCTGGTCTTCCTTGGTCACGATATCGTAGATGGCATCGTTGTGGCCGGGGACCCTGTTGTCCTGGTGGGCCATAATGTCCTCGCCGACGAGCATTTCTTGCTGTGTGGGGTTGGTATTAGCAAGAGCAGCTAGCGCAGCGGTGCAAAGAGGCAAGATTTGCCGGATTTCATCGCGTGGCGGTGGTGTGGGTTAGATTTTGAGACAGCTCAGGGGAAGTGAGCAGTGAGGGACGAGAGGAGTCTTAGCTTTATGTCACTTGACTGCCTCCTAGGCGAGTACGGCGTAGAGTCTAGACTCTAGAACCTGCCCGAAACCAGCGCCTAACCACAGCCGCTGCTAATTTCACGCTCCCCGCCCCCGCCCACGTTGCCCCTGAGGTGCATCATTGAGGGGGCAGAGGAGGCAGTTCAGACCCACGATAGAGTCTGCCGCGAGGACCGGCAGATCTGGTATACAGATGGAAGCGGCTATCAGGGGATGATCGGAGCCGCCGCGGTCTCTATTCGAGCAGGAAGGACCGCCAGGAAGCATCTAGGAACGGAACTGGACTCTACGGTCTACGTGGGGGAGTTGGAAGGGGCCCGAATGGCCCTGGATCGGGCGAAGCCTACCCCGATTACGACCTTCTCAGATAGCCAGGCAGCTATTCAAGCTGTGCGCAACCCTGGCCGGCCATCGGGCCAGTACGCACTGCGGGCTATTTACGGGAGGGTTAGGGCCCTGCGGAGCGAGGGCCTGGAGGATGCTGAACTGCGTTAGATCCCCGCTCACATCGGGGTAAAAGGAAACGAAAAGGCGGACAAGGCAGCCAAAGAGGCTGCGATAAGAGAAGTTAAACTAAGCTCAATAAGGCCGCGAGATCGAGCAATTATACGGTTCGCAGCTATAGCTAAAAGAGATGTCCGCCAACGTTTACGTACGGAGTGAACAAAGCAGTAAAAAAAGCAGAAAGTAAGCAGGCCGACGAGGCAGCTACTATTTAAACCAGACAAGAAGAATTTACGGCTTTACGAATATCTCAGTAAGCTGCACACCTCGATTATTATACAGATGCGCACTATGAGAATAGGATTAAGGCACTTCCTCTATAAGATTAAACAGGTCGATTCTGACCGGTACGCCTGTGACCTAGGGTCCCAGACCCCTAGGCACGTCCTTCTGGAGTACTCGCTGCACACGGCTGGCCGGAAGATAATAATGAGTTACCTCAATCAAGTAGAGAGACTGTATAAGTATATATAGGATTACGATACAGTTATAGCATACCTGCAAGCGATCTGCTACGTCACCAAATTTATGCAATAAATAGGCCTTCTTTAACAATTCTGATTCGCTCGACTGGACGAGGAGGACGAGGAGGCTCCAGAACCTACCAACCTGCTAGAAGGACTCGAACTAGGCGAG